TAATATGCAAATTGTCATTATCATTGTCTAATTGAAATCTGTATCACAGCACATCAAACCAAACCGACCATTGCTATATGAACGTATTGATTGATCTATAGTGATCAATCTGTATGAATGAGCGCGATTGCGCTATCAATCTCTTCTGTGATTTTCCTTTCACAACAGACCACATTCGGTGATATTCTACCAGTCTCACAAATGCACGGATATAAATATTTCATATTGTTCATGTCTTCCATCCTCACATCCCGTTCGGCTTCATCTTCAATCAAACGATCGAATTTCAGTCCTTGATTTGAGCACATAAACCTTGAAGGTGGCTTGAAGGTGGCACCCGCACTGCCTTGAGATAGCATTAATAGAATGCCTGTAGCTCCTCAATGCCTATAGCTCTCCAAATTACTCAGCAAATACATGATTTTCTGAATGTAGAGATCCAACTGGATTGATTGGTGAGAAGAAATTCACATGTTTCCCGGCAAACCTGAGAAGACGGTTAGCTCGAAGATCGGAATCCGCCCATTGTTATATGAACGTATTGATTGCTCTATAGTGATCAATTTGTATGAATGAGCGCGATTGCGCTATCTATTTGAGATAGGTCTAAGAAAATGGCTATATCTCCTAAGATAAGGAAAATCGCTCGGTAAAATAATAATATTCTGAATCTTGAGATTCTGCTGGATCGAATGGTCTAGACAAAGTCATATGTTAATGGGCAAACTTGAGAGTACAATAAGCTTGAATGTGGCACCCGCATAGCCTTGAGATAGTACTAGGAAAATATCTATATCTCCTCAATTAAGCCAAATTACTCAGCAAAATATGTTTTTCTGAAACTAGAGGTTCCGCTGGATCGAACACCAAACCTGAGAGTACCGGTACCTTGAAGATGGTAATCCCTATTGCGCTATGGTAATGTATGCATTAATCTATAGTGATAAAATGTATTGGATGAGCGCCTCTGCGCTTTTTGCGATAGCTTTACAAAAAATAGCTACATCTCCTCATGTAAACAGAACTGCTCAACAAAATATATATTATTCTGAATCCAGGGGTTCTGAGGAATAGAATAGTGTAAAGAATTTGATATGTTACTGGGCAAACCTGAGAATATCGGTAGCTTGAATATATGAACTCTTGTGGTGCTATAGCGCCATTGCACTGGTTGAGATAACTATATATCTCCTTATATGGGCAGAATTGCTTGATAAAATTTATGAGCAGTAGCTCCGGGGTTTAATGACTACGGTAACTAGCCACGCCCAAAGTTAATGCAACCAACAGAAGTAGCACCCCTGGGGTTAAACGACTACTTTTTGACGCAGTACATTCAGAACCATACTGCGAAATTCCGTTATATTGAGAACACATTGGTGTGAAATATTAATACCAACGATTTTCTAAAGCCGTCTCACGTTGCTGAGTGGCTCATTCCAATACATTATGTCTGTATTGCTATCCAGCACGGATTCATTTCAGTTGGTATTAGTTTACGGTATAACGAATTATAAGCTGCTTAAATCGCAACTATGCATTTTGGATGGCAGGGAAGATTTGATCAGAAACACAAACAGCTTACAATTAGATATCGGATAATGAAAAAATGTTTTTCAAGTATCACTCAAGCGAAGTGAAAATGTTTGTGAAATTTATTGACAAAATTAAAGACAAGTCTCGATCATCATGTGATGGAATTCGTGATGGATGCACGGAAGCCACCACAAATAATGTTGCAATATATTACGTCATGCTGTATGGCAATGTTTTCAACTTTGACAACATCGTCCACCACTGGTCGAGAACGCCATTTTAAAGATGCGATTTCGTTGAGACAGACTAACTGCTTATATAATTTCACTGCTTTTCGGCGACAATATGAAAAGAAAGCACTTTGTCAATCGAGATATCCTCAGAAATACGACTGTGTTAATGAAATTATGCATTTTTGCTCGAGGACACACTTATAATTTCTCTGTCGCTCGCGACATGCCCTATTTGAACTGTGAAAAAATTGTATAGTTATTGGTCATAACTGAGCGCATGAAACCATTTTGCTCTTGAATACAGTTAGTTTGAAAGTGGTGCTGCTGAGTAGTGATCGTAACCGACTGAAGTTTGGTCGGTAAAGTCCGACAAATTTCGGTCGGAATTCCGAGGTTCGGATTCCGACAGGAACTTTTTGAAATTTAGCCCAAATACCGAATTCTGAAGTGTTACAAAGTCGATTTGTTGCGATTCCAACTGAACTGAAATTTCGTTTGGATGCCATCACTACTGTCAATATTCCAAATGCATTGCACAGAATGATCAACAGAGCTACAATGTGTGGAAATATTTGGCGTAATATGATCTCTGTGCCACACAGTATGTATTCCGAAATCTACTTGTTTTCTGAAAGTAGTGTGTAGCGAGGAACGGGGAATTTCGGGGACAGGATCCCTGTCTTACTACTACTTTATGCGACATTTTGGAAGGCGGCCGTATTTTCGGGATTCTCGATCGCAAAATTTCGTCCCGGACTTTTTTTTCCTTCCCCGCAACGCACTAGTATAATCAGTACTCATCAGGGAGTGCGAACTCCAACGTGAGCTGTTCCAGACAGTTTTAGTCACTGAGTTTTTGATTAGGCTTTCAGTTTCTCGACGAATTGCTCGTTAATAGGATTCTTCCCGTCCAATAAATGGTCCCCGACGAACACTGAATATGATCATTTTGCAATTCTGGAAATAAGCGGTGACTGTCAGATTCGAAAAACAGTTTTATGGATGTCTTATGTGGACAAACCTTATCGTGTTCACTGTATTGACTCATATTTAATTACTCTGAAACAAACGGCTTGTTTTCTGTATTTCTTCATGCATCATAGAATATTCAATTCTGCACAGTGAAAGGTCAAGTGCAGCGAACCCTTAACTTTACACTTTCCTTGTGTTTTAAGCTTTAAAAAATATATCAATTTTATTTTATTCACAATAAAAACATTATTGTCACAAGACCTTCTGTGACAATCAATAATGCCCTCTTATTTCCTGTAGACTGTTTCAGAGATTGCTCTCGAACGGATGTTCGAACCGAATAATGAATGTTGAAATATAACGACATAATCATTAATGAATAATGGAACACCACAAATGAATAATCAGTCAAAATGAATAAACGGACATCGAATTGAGAGTAAGGATGATTCTTAGTAAATGCAAATTAACGATCTCGGGTTGCACCAAGAAATTGGCTGAGTGNATTCGACCGGATGATTCGCATCACGAATCTGAGGGATTGCATTAAGAATAAACTTTTCGATGGGTCCACCTGTACCTCTATTATTACCCAGTCCTCGAAATGACCGATTTTCGGTGCCCGGTACCCAGAATGGTGGTGGTTTCTTCGGCAGCGGTTTTCCGTTATCTGAAATTACATTTTTTCTGTTTATAACAATTTTAATTACGATTGAAGAAGTGAGCTGATGCAATGTTATGTCGTGTATCATATCATTCAATATCAGATTGCATCATATGTTATCACAAGTTATATCTTAATAGACAGTTTTCAGTTCAGATAATTTGTTTTGATTTAGCGCATATGTATGTGCACGTTCGTTGACAATAATAATGAAATAACGATGACACTTAAATAAAAATAAAAACAATAAGATTGGATGCCTGATATTATTTCGGACGACCTGAACAACATCACAGATCAAGTATTCTGTTCAAATTAACAGCGTGTAGCCAATACAAGAGGGATTTAACAATAGCAATAGCAATTCGTTGTGAAGTTGAATTAACCTTGTATATATCTTAAACTGAATGATCCATCTCGATTCAACTGTGTTGCATCAACAATCACCAATACCTCGTTTTGTTCAGAAACAATTTCTAGTTGCCTCTCATCGCAGCTGAAGTTTATTTATTCAAACAGTGCAAGCATTCAAAATCAACGAGCCAATCGTCATAACGTTAACAAGATTATCATATCATTTTCGAGATTATCAATACTCACAATTATATAGTAAATGGAATTGAAACTGAAATCATATCATTAACCCCGATGAGTTTACGATATTAGGGTACGTAGTTAATATATGCTGATAAGCTCGCATTGATCGGCACAAGAATTCGTTGATCGTTTAAAATAATTAGATTATCCAACAATGCGAGAAATTTTTCCTTGGATCATTAAGAATGAAAAAAAAGCCAACCAACAACGAAAACCAGTTTGTTGAAAGTCTGAGTTGTACTTCAATTCTACATATGACCGACATGTAGTATCACATTTGAATGAAGCCGAATCTAATATTATTCGAATTCTGGCATCATTAGCCTTAAAGGTGGAAAGTAATTGACTAACTAGATGGAACCAGCACGCTAGCAATATCTTCAAATAATTATGGCTGTAAAACTGATCGAATATTTCAGCAAAACCTTAATTCTCCAATAGCATCGCTGTGATCCTTTGTAAATCAAATGCTGCCAGAGTGGACCAGCTAGAAGCTCACTTCCACACTCACCTAAATAAGATGAATGAAAAGTAAACGAGTTGGGTTATCGACTATGTCAATCAATTCGAACAAGCACTAAAAGGCTTCAAATCACCTCATGGTTACGACTGTTCA